GTAATCGTACCCAACTATATAATGTAGGGGAGCCGTAATCGTACCCAACTTTATGATGCAGGGAAGCCATAATCGCACCCAATTATATAATGTAGGAGAGCCGTAATCGTACCCAACTGTATGACGAATGTGACGTAAGGTAGCTGTAATTGTATTTATCTATACAATTTTGGGGAGATGTATCCATAACAAATTATTGGGGTTTGAACCAGAGCGTAGGTAGAAATGTATGAAGGGAAAGACGCTACCTTACCATTAGAGGATAGAAATGGGTGACAAAACAGTACTGGGGGGTCTTGGGCATGACTCCTCGAAAAAAAAAGTGCAGCTCTAGAACTTTAGGGCTTAAACATTGTCCAACCTCAGAGCCCTAGGTAACTAAATTATGCCTAACCCTATAGAAAGTTCGTTAAACTTGGTTTTACTATAGACGTGCTTAGGGATTTGCAATAAAAATATACACATGGTGTTGGATCCTCAACGATGAACTTGGTTGCACGGTGAGGTACCATTCGTTCCATTTATAGGATATAACTGTATTTTTGAAAAGCTTTGAGAAAAGCATTTATCTGTGTAAAAGAAGTTAGAAAAGTATTGAAAATGCGAGCACGTAATTTTAAGCATTTGAGCAATAGCTCCAATAATTTCCATGCGTAACATATTTGTTTGAAACACGAACTTTTTCTTTGGGAAATAGATCTAACAACCTTCCATGATTGACAACATTTCGAAAACTTTCACAAGCTATGTATATATATACATACTTGTTTACCTCATGCTGCTTTGGTCATAAAATAAAGAGTAAAGTCAAGCCAATATTACCTTTGCATTTATATGTCCGGCTGTTTCTGTTACTGTTCGCCAGCTCTTAGTTCTGAAGCAGCGTTATTAAGATAGTTCACTAGAAGATAACTAGCCTTTTATATACAAAATAAGCTGCTCATTTAAACGCCTCCCTGCTTTGGTCTTAATTTTTCTGAACTCCTGCGTCCATAGAAAGTGTTAAGTTTAAGTGTTCAGTCTCTCCCACACCTGTTATATTAAAAACTAGAGTTTTAGTCACTTGGCTGATCGTGGTATACGTATGGACAACGGCTGAGTTTATGATTAAATTGGAAAAAGGCAGTCTACGTCTGAGTAATAGATGAAATAGTATTATTCTTATTCTCTCCCTCCCCAATAGCACAGCGGTATGTCTACAGACTTACAACCCTAGAAACCGGGTTTCGATACCCGTTTCGGGCAGAGCACAGATAACCCTTTGTGTAGCTTTTTGCTGAACTAGAAACAAACAAACTATTCTTATTTTTTAAATGTTCACATTCTTTACTTCTGAGGACACCCCCTGTCTTGTAAAAATGTTCAAATCATCACTGAACACTTTCTAACGTCACTGAAAAAATTTTTAGGCTTAGACGATTTAATTCTGTTCGTTTCTAAAGCGTATAGTTTCAGTTGAATATGACCCAGGAGAAAAGTATGTTGTTCCTCTGAACGCAGTTGGACAATATTCGATTTCTTTGATGGAGGAGTTTAGAGTTGTGATATTAATGAATCAATCCCATTTTTAATTTCATTATTGTCAAACACATTTTAAAATGTCTTCGTGTGATTAAACAGAACTATCTGTCACACAAAAATATATATTTCTGCAGAGGTTAGAAATTTCTACTTAAAAAAAAAAATCGTAATTTTTGTTTACATTTTTAATAAGATATTTTATATATACCAGCTTAAAACATTTGTTCATTTTCTTTTCAATCTATAAAATAATTTTGATATTTTTTTAATATGTCTTTGTATTTTAACAAAATACTCTTACAAGGTGCTAAAAATGTTTGATTCAAACTTACAATTTACACAGACAAGAGACCCCCCCCCCAGTAGCACAGCGGACTTACAACGCTAGAATCCGGGTTTCGATACCCGTGGTGGGCAGAGCACAGATAGCCCATTGTGTAGCTTTGTGCTTAACTTCAAAAACAAAAAACAACAAGAGAAATCCGTTAAAACTTACCCTTTCTTTGGTATTTGTATTTTTCCTAATACTAAATAACTTGTTCTGATCTTTAAATTTGTTGGTTTGTGTATGGATAAAGAAAAACGTGACAGCTACGTACTACTTCTGAACAAAAACTGAAACGCAAACGTTTAATATCACTGTTGAAATTTTTATTGTAATTGAAAAAAAAGCATAAGAATTATTGTAAAAAAAAACTGACAAATATGATAACACAAGAAAAAGCTAATAACTAAAAGCTTGTACCACGGAGCCAGGCGCCCCCTGGTGGAAGACCAAACTAAACTATAGTGTTTATTCTGGTTCTCGCGGAAGGGAAGACTAGAAACAAACGAGTAAAACAATTTTATGGTGAATTTTCGTAGGTTTAAACGTCAGTAATTTTTTATCGCAATTCAAAAAGAATTGACTAGTTGATAAAGTGTAAACAGCCTTTAAAATTTTTTTTTTTTTTAGTGTATGCGAATTCAAGGATGTTGTCTACTAACAATGTATTTCATGCTCCCTGCTCATCGCATACATTTTTAAAGCTAACGTACGTTTGTACAGCACAAGGATCACAGTCTTGAGCAAAAACAAACACAATGAGAAATATTTCATATTGAAATATCAAATGCTTGTAGAATGATAAAAGAAGGTTCACACGACAACGATTTGGTCCATTAAGTGATTCGTTTTCAAATAAAAGCGGACCAATTATTTAACAGTCTAACCATCCCATCATACAAAATAAATCACACACACACACAGAAAGGTATTATACAGAATTATACATAATTGTGCGTATATATACAAAAAGCATCAGTGAAGACTATATGAGCGATATAACTTCTTTTTGCTCAGCATGTAGTTTTCACTAATAACCAGTGGAGAATTCCGACCGAGGCTCTTGAGTAGACGAGCCGGGATTAGATGTCGCAAACTTAGCCAACTACTACAGTCTTGTTTGAGAGTTAAAAACACTTCAAAGGTCGCAACAGTGTCTGGATCGTAATTCACCTTCCCGATCCGTCTACATAAGCTCTTCTCTTCAAGATTTACATATACTACGCACCCTCGGAGTCCACAAGGTTCCTTCTCTGACATGCGCAGTATATCCCGTACAATTCGTAACATGAGATCAGAAGGAATTAATACTTCGGTACACTGTAACTGCGTGCCTTTAGCATCTTTTAAGCAGTCTTCTAACTTTCGGGAGAGAAGCTGACACTTAGCGAGTTCGTGAGCTTCGTTCTCCTGAAGTTCTGTGAAGAAGACGTCTAGAAAAAAGGAAACAGCAAAAAAAATAATAAAAAAAAATAAAAAAAAACATTACTTAAAACTACGTTATAAATAACACATTTAAGTTATGAGATATGTTTAAAATACTTTACCCAGCTGGTGTTAAAATCACACTTAGGATTATTTCAACTTTGGGATTACGGTCGTAATATCGCCATCAATGCATTTTAATGATTATACGTTTTTGTTTTATGACCATACACACTTCAGGTTAAACCAGTATATTAAATCATCTATTTTATTTGCTGGGTTAATTTCTAGTCTTGTGTCTTGTTTTGATCACAAGATAACAATAATCGGTAGTTACGTGTAGTGTCTACATTCATGCTCAGTGTAAATTTCAGAGATACCAAGTATAATTTCTGGAATAATTAATACTTAATTACAAGTGTTTTTATTTTATTCGTTTTTGTTTAATTACCACATGTTAAATTAAGTAATCGTATTTTGGTATATTAATAGAACGATAGATCTTGCAAGTCTTGCAATGATTTGGTTTTATTAGATAGGCTTAATTAAAAAGAAACAGCTACTTTGGAAGTTGAAGTATTTTTTCATAGCTTTGATAATACCCAATTTAATACAAACGTGTGTAAAGCTGATTGTGAATATAAAATTCACGTGCTTATTACCAAGATCTCATGTGTGCAAAAACAAAAATACACTAGCGCTTGGCTTCTGCATACCTAACTTCTTGATACAGGAATGGAATATACTTTAACATTTCTAAAATGACCACAGTTACTTGCTTATACATACCTTTTGAGTCAACCCAGGAAATCGCTGTATCACCAAAAGCATGACTGCTAAAAGCAGGACTACTTTGAAAATCATGGATTCTCATGTTAACTCGTTGATGTAAAATATCGCCGAAGTTACTTTCAGTCCACGCCGAAGATGCGGGGATTTGTGGAGCTTTCCCGTACACTGCGGTACTGTTTGACATCAGCAATATACGTATTTATTACTTCGCATGCAAGCTCTTAGAAGATGCAACTAGTAATAGCAAAAGTAAGTAGCAGATTATTAATTCAAACCGTCGACTTCGTCGAACTACGTCGACTGATTTTGGTATTTATAAAACAGCTGATAATGTCTGCTGTCAGAAGTCAGTGGTATTATACAAACCAATAAGACTTAAGGCTGGCAACCAATCAAATTTCAAGAATGGCGCCTAGCAACTGAGTCTTTGGGAGACGCCTGAGTTCTGCGCGTGTACAAGTATAATGAGAAGTGCGTGCATAAAAAAACGACGATTTCTAGGACTATAGAGCCCTCATACGAAAAACTATCGTACTAATAAGAAGTGCAGTAGAAACAGAAATGTGATTTCTATCTTGTATTCATCAAGTTAGAAATATTTACCACTTTGAAGCTATATAAAAGGTAAAATATAAATATTCACCGAATATATTATAAAAGCTAATTAACTACAAACTCTTTAGGTTCACGTAAAATTGTCTTAAGTTAACATTGTTAAAAAGCTGTTAATCACTTGTAATCTCAACACGAAAGTTTCTAGCGTTGTTTTTATTCATGGCCATATCGGCTGCAATATTCTTCTTTGAAAGCATAAAACACTCAATATCTTTTTGACATTATGGTCCATTAAATATGACATTTACATTTGGAATTATCGTGTAAGGCAATTACATAAAGAAAAAAAACTGAAGTGTATTAAAATTGTTAATTCTGAGTTTATCATGTTGTCAAATGGGTAAGTTAACATTAGAATTAAGTTTGTTTTATCGCAAAGCTCCACAATGAGCAATCTGTTCATCGTCCGCTGCAGGGACTGAGCCCTAAATTATAGCGCTATAAACCGTGAAGCTTATCACTGATCTACTGGAGTGTTTGTATATTTTTTTATTTGTAGAACAAATTCAATGGATTTGCAGAAAAACGTATCGAAGAGTCTTATTAAACAAACCATATTACGTGAAAGGGAGAAGATCTAAATTTCATTAATTTTGTAAACAGACTGAGCATACTGTACATTGATTTATTTTAATGTAAACAGACTGAGCATAGTATACATTTATTTATTTTAATGTAAACAGACTGAACATAGTATACATTTATTTATTTTAATGTAAACAGACTGAACATAATATACATTTATTTATTTTAATATAAAGAGACTGAGCATAGTATACATTTATTTATTTTAATGTAAACAGACTGAGCATAGTATACATTTATTTATTTTGATGTAAACAGACTGACCATAGTATACATTTATTTATTTTAATATAAACAGACTGAGCATGGTATACATTTATTTATTCTAATGTAAACAGACTGAACATAGTATACATTTATTTATTTTAATATAAACAGACTGAGCATAGTATACATTCATTTTTTGGGTCATTAGTTGTAAAACATTTCACTTCTCTTAATTTTTGGACTGTTTCTCTTATTTTCATTTATGAATTATGTCTGTGTTTATGAGTTATACTTATTGTCTGTATTTGTAATTTATGTCTGTAGTCTGTGTTTGTGGACTATCTCTGTTGATCTTTACTTGTGAACTATATCTTTTGTCTGTGTTTATGGGCTATATTTGTGGTTTATGTCTGTAGTCTGTGTTTGAGGACTATCTCCGTTGATCTTTATTTGTGGTTTATGTCTGTAGTCTGTGTTGTGGACTATCTCTGTTGATCTTTACTTGTGAACTATATCTTTTTTCTGTGTTTATGGGCTATATTTATTATCTATGTTTGTGGTTTATGCCTGCAGACTGTTTGTGGACTACCTCTGTTGGTGTTTGCTTGTGAAATATAGCTGTTCCCTATATTTGTGTGCTATGTAAGCTGTCTTTACTTAAATGGTTCTATATCTAATATACCTGCTAATCAAATGAGCTATTCTACTGTCTTGACTTCTTTCAGTTGTACTTACTGTGTCTACTATCTGGATTTGCATTGACCATATTTACTGTTTTTATTCAAATGAATTGTCTACTGCCTATATCAGAACATACCGTCGACTGTCTTTACTTCCTCTCACTACTGTCTTGATTTGTATGGACTATGTTACGTGTATTATGTATCAATGGGCTACTTTTATAACCTTGATTTGTAGGATAGGTCTTCCTTGTTGAATTTGATATTAATTCTAGTTATACTTCCGCTGAGTGTGTATTCTATCCTTTATAATGGACCATGCCTATTGTTTTTAATCATTGTTTTCTAGAGCTGTTCTCTTGGTTAAAATAGAGTTATCTCTTGTTTTATCATATTGGCTAAACTGTTGCCTTCATTTAAGCATTGTAGTTTTTGTTGTTTGTTTGTTTTGTTTACTATTAATAACAGAATAAATAGTAGCAAGCAATTATAATTTAGCTAGTCGCTAGAATGACTGGTACAATCTTTAGTTAGAACACACACACACATATATATATATATATATATAGTATAACT